CCACACACCCCGCAGCCCTGTCAGACTCCACACACCCCGCTCCCCTGTCAGAACCCCCATACCCCACACACCCCTCAGCCCTGTCAGACCCCACACACCCCACACACCCCTTGACACCTCACATCCCTTGAAACCTCTCCCACCCCAAATACCCTTCACACCCCACACACCCCTCAGACCCCACACCACCCTGCTCTTGCCCACCCCTCAGCCCTCCTGTCACCCCACGCACCGTCACAGCTGCACCCCCCTTCTCTCACACCGTCCCACAGCTCACAGCCCTGCACTCCCTGTCACCCCACACCTCCTGAGCCCCGGCCCCTCTCATGCCCCCAGCCCGCAGCACCTCGGGGTTGCCCTGGCGGGGGCGGCTGCTGCGGACAGAGGCAGCACCGAGGGCTCCCTGCTGTGCTTTATGGTCTCCTGTCGGTGCAGCCAACGGAGGAACAACCCACCGATCACCTTCCTCACCACCACACCGCTTCCAGCCACCCAGGGCAGGATTTAATGGGCGAAGAGGAAGCTGAGCCCAAGGAGATGCTTCCCTCAGGTGTGACCAAGTTTGACTTTGCAGTAATTCCTGGTTAGTTTCACAGGCTAGAATCCTGTGAAATTTCAAAGCACAGTCAAAGACACTTCTTGGTTTCCATGCAAGCTTAGGACACCTCCACACAAACACAGTCTGGTTGAGGCTGGAGGGGATCTCTGGAGGTCATGCAGTCCAAGCCTCCTGATCACCCAGGAACATCCTGCCACCATTTGTTTAATGCCTCCAAGGACAGAGACTCCAGAGCCTTTCTGGGCAGCCCGTGCTGGTGCTGGGTCACCCTCACAGTGACAGAGGGTTTCGTGGGGTTCAGAGGGAGAGCCTTGGCTCAGTCTGTGCCCGTTGGCTCTGTCCCTGCCACGCAGTGCTGCTGGAAGGATGCAGCTGTGCCGTGTGTTCATTCTCCTGTGGTTTACAGCAGTGAGACCCCTTCTGGGCATTGTTTCTTCCAGGCTATCCAGGAGCAGCTGCCTGAGCCTCTTCGCTTCTGGCAGAATGCCTGCGGGCATCTTCTGGGACACAGCGCAAGGATGTTCTCTGCAGAAATCCAGGCGGGCCCTGCCCACGCCTTCCTTGGATTCATGGCAGGAGGTCTGCAGGTCACGCAAGCACGGCTGCTCTGCAGCAGCCAGCCTGACCCTTCCCATCCCTGCGCTCTGCTGGGCTCTCTGCAGACGCTGGGTGCCTCTGGTGCTGCTCACGGGGTGTTCTCTCGCACATGTGTGAGCCACAGCCTTCCTGATGGTCCCCAGAGGCTCCAGGGGGGTTTCTTGGAGGGCACCTGGCAGGGCATCCTCGCTGCTCACTGTGTGAGACCCTGCAGGCAGCCCTCTGCGAGCCTGTGTGAGCACACAGGTGAGTGCAGCAGGGCAGGTGAGGCTGAGCTGGCAGCCAAAGGAGCCACCAGGGCCGCACAACGGCACCCAGCTGCACAGCACTCAGCTCGGCATCACAGGGAGAGAAGGTTCCAGGAGCAGTGTGAAGGGGGTTTGTGCCTTGCTGTTTTTTAAAAGTGCACGTCAGGATCAATGAGAAGCCATCATGACTAAGAGCTGGATAAATGGTATGAATAAGCCAGTAAGACAAACAACAGTCCAAGGGCAGGTTCCTCAGTCACTCTTTAACCTTCTCTTTCAAAAACTAAGTTGGAAGAATGTCCACAGATGTTCTGGGGCTTTTTTTTGCTCGTGGTAAGATTTTAACTATCGTTGCTTTCTTTTCTCCCCTACCTCATGCACATTCTTAATACCCAGTTCTTTGCCATGCAGCCTCGGAGAAGCGTGCGTACTGAGCACCCACTCTTGAGGAGTTTATTGCTCTTCACAGTCCTGTTGTTGGGTTAATTCTGTGAGATGGAGAGGCACTGTACACTTGTGTATATACCAGCACTCCTGCTGCTGAAACAGTACCACTTCTTAGTTCTTGCAGCTCTAAATGTCCCCTTTCTTATTCCTGCTTCCATCCTTGCCTGCATTGTGCTGTTGAGCTTGATAGCCAACATGAATCATTGACCAAAAAAAAACCCCAAAAAACCCCGCATTTCAAACCAGCTCTTGGAAGAACACTTTTATGAAGATAATTAGATTTTTTTCTTATAAACATCACCATGGATACTCTTCGTTGGATAGAAAAACAACTACTGGTATCAAGAAGTTCCTGCTAAAACTGAAGGAGAGTGGAAAGCCAGAGCAGGCAACACATTTTATTATGAACCACAGAAGATGTTTGCATATGCACATGGCATATTTTTTTATCACACATCTTGATAACTCTCTCCTGTACTTCACTGGCAGTTGAGCTACCTGGATATGTACCAGGAGAAAGTTTAATGGTCACAGGATTCTAATATTAATTTTAATTATCTAAAAATGTTTGTCACAAATGGATGTTTTAGGTTGCTCGACGAATGACTGGAAAAGGCATTGCCGAATCAGGTTTAACACAAAAGTGAAAGTGCAACAAAGTTCACTGGCATGCTTCACTCTACTACTCAGAGCTCAAGCAGAGATCAAAATCTAGATTCAATCTATCTCCAATTAAAATCAAATGAAAGTGATACATGTGGAGGCTGAGGACAGGAGAAAGAGTAAGAATGGGAAATGGTGAGCATGCAAAGGGATAAGGGAGACCCTGTCACTGAGTTACAGGGTTCAGAGTGGATCTCCCTGCAAAACATAGCCTCAGACTTGACCACAGCTATAGGCCTAAAGATTTTAACATCACTTAAACATACTGACACTGAATTAATAGCCTAATTTAAAGAATTCAGCAAAGGACTGTAGAATTTACTAGAAGCATGACAGAAACTCACAGGCCTGATGTACAAATCTAGTGCATTTAGGAATCAAAGAGCAACATTCCTGCTCCATTTGCTGCAGCACATTCACAGTCACACACCCACGGAGCCAGAGCCTGCTCAGGTGTGCACAATTCCTGCACAGGTTCATCCCTGTGGGAAATGCCCCCCAGCTCAGGGAAGGACTCACCTAGGACCAATGTTTGTAGGGTCACAGTGTTATAGCAATGTTCCGTACCGACTGCAATTCTGCTTGGCAGCTTTCTCTGATTGTTCCACAAGGAAAATGTTCACCCACCTGGACCTGCTCACTAGCCAGCACCAGATCCTGGGAGCAGACAGCGTCTCTGGTACTCAGGGGAGCTCAGCCCTCGAGGTGCTGCTCGTCAAGGCCATGAACTAATGAGCATTTCTGAGATCACAGCACGGCCCCGGGTGGGTGATTCCCTGTGGGATCTCAGCACATCACTGTGGATGTGCAGAGACACCAGGGGAGCCCCTGGGGGGCTCGGAAACCCTGGAATGCTGCCAAAAGGGTTTGGTGGTTGGATTTCGATCCATCAAAAGGAGAAGAACCTGTGACGGAGGAAATGAGAACTTCCTGAGTGTGAATAATACCTTTATGGAAAGAAATATAAATTTTAGAAAAATAGGTACAGGGGGGGCATGAAGGCAAGATGGAGGATTCAGGGCGTGGTCCTGTGTTCTTCTTCCTTCTTCATGTCTTCCATTTTGTGTGGTGATGTTGGCCCCTGGGGATTGGTTCATGGTGAAGGTACACTTGTCTATAAGGGTGAATAGTATTGGGAAATAAAGGTAAATATGGCACACGTAATTTTTACTATAAAAGACACAGCCGCCCTGTGGGCGGGGGAGAGGGCACTCGACTGTCCTGCTGAGCGGACCTCGGCTGGGCAGAGAGAAAACTTTGTAGATAAGAGATAATAAACAGAACTGAAGACCGAAAATCTGAGAGTGCAGACTCATCCTTCGCAATCGCGGCCGCCCAGAACCACTGTCCCCGTGTCG